GTGGTTTGATTAGTAAATGCCATAACTTATTACAAAATGATTGGTAATATGAAATCTGTCATATGTGGCCAACAATTGTGTAAATGTTATGGTTTCGAGACTTTATCATTTAAGTAAAGGTTGGTATTATTTTGAGTAATTAACTGTGGAAGTAACACAAAGAGTAAAGGAGGATTTTGTAGATGTTTGTAGGACTCAAACTTCTAAATTGATTAACGTATAAATACACTGAATTATGTAAAAAATTATTTTTGTATATTGTGATTCAAGTTAGATTATATTTAAAATATATTAATAATAAAATATCTACTAACAGATGGAATGGTCTTCTTTTAATGTTAAAAACTCCTACTCAATTCAATAAATCTAAATTATAAAACACTTTTTTTTTTTATATTCGAACTTTTTTTAGTCTTTTTATACTTAAAAATATCATATAAGAAAGGACATCAATGTCTTTAATGAAAATACAATAATTATAACATTTACTCAAGTCTAATTTAATTGTTTTAATTAATTTTATACAAAATTTTTTACTTAACATTTTTGTATAAAAAATAAATAACAATTAAATTTTTTTAATAAAATTCAACTATTATATAAAAGTAATTATAAAAAATTGTTAAATTAAATTAAATTCCATATAAAATCCAAATTAATGCAACTAAGTCAACCATAATTAAGAGAGATTGCCATTTACTCGTATAAAAAACAGAAATAGTTTTGGAATAATTTTTTTGTATTATTTTTTAGTATAACTTGATATATTAATTAAATAATTAATTTTTTTTATTTATGTGAAACTTATAATATTAAATATATTTACTTATTTAATAATGTATAAAAATTATATTAAAATATAATATAAAAAAATTATCTCTATAGCACATTTTTATAAAAAATAAGCCAAAATCCAAATTACCAAAAATGAGAAAAGAAAAAAAGGTTAACTGCAAACACCACGCGATGTTTCTCCGTGCAGAACACGCACGCACACAAACTATGACAGTGCATCTTACGCGCTGTGTTTAACAGCTAGTGCTTACCCCAAAGCAAAAAGCCCAAAACCGGAAACCCCAGGCCCAACCCACAAAATTCAAAAACTTCAAATTCCGGGATTAATTAATCCCATCCGTTGATTCCGGTAGCAAACGTGGCATAACGAACGGCTCAGATCGCCTTTGACTCCACGCTCACCGACCCTACTCATTTGAATTCAAATTTACCCCTCTCCTCCTCAAAGTTAACGTTACAAAATCTCCAAACCTTCAGGTTCGGCTCCTAAAACTCCATTTTTCTCTGTATCATTCAAGAAATTAAAAGCTCAAAATTTTCCAATTTCCAGTACATTTTCTCACCCAATTTCCAAACCTTAGTTAGCTCCCTTTCTCTCTTCCTTTTTCTGGGTTTCCGAGGTTTTTCTCGTTTTTCTTTTTCCGAAAAGAAAAAGAACCCAGAAACGGAGGGATATGGTGTTTGATTATGTGATTTTTTCTTGGATTGTTTGATTGAGGACAGGGAATTTTTCTGGCGTTTTTGTTTCTGGTTTTGTAAGCTAGTTTGTTGTTTTGAAGGGCACGAGAAGATTGGGTTTTCAATGGAGGCTAGAACAAGAACCGGATTTCATGACCTCAATATGGCTTCAAGAAAAGCTGAAGAAGCAGGTGAGTGTACTGTCTAGTTTTTGTGTTTCTTCTTTCAATGTTACGTTTGGTTAGTGGGAAAGTAAAATAAAAGAAACTGAGAAAATCTTGAATTCATGATCTTATGTTTAATTTTGTTGTTTTTGAATAAAACCCATTGTAAATCCTTTACCTAGATTCAACAGTAAACATCTAACGATTTCTTGACGTTGATTATTCGTCTAATTTCTCTGGAATCTGAATCGTCTTTTAATCAATGGTTTTGCAGCTTTGAGACGATATGTAGCTGCGGCTTGGCTTGAAAGTTTTGTGGGTCCACTGGGGATATCGAGTCAGCCATCGGAGAGAGAGTTCATTTCTTGCTTGAGAAATGGTCTGATTTTGTGCACTGCCATTAACAAGATCCAGCCAGGTTCAGTGCCCAAGGTACTGTACTACATCTTTGTTTTGCATTCTATTTATATCCTGTTTGATGGGATTTTTTCCCTTTTAAAGTATGGACTTTTAAGTGTTTCTTACATTAAGTTGGGGAATTGGGGTTTCTTGTTCTTCTATGCAATGCTGAAATTTCTGTGCTTTATAAAATTGTTTGAAGGTTGTGGAGAGTAATTCACATTTACAATCACATACCCGAGAATTCCAGCCACCGCGAGCCTATCAGTACTTTGAGAATGTTCGAAACTTTCTGGTGTCCATTGAAGAGTTAAAACTTCCTGCCTTTGAAGCTTCTGATCTTGAAAGGGTAAATTTCACGTAATTAACTAATTGTTAAGTTGAAGCTATATGTAATTTTATCCATTATTACTTTACTACATCAATTGATGCATAACTGTGCATATGTAAAGGATGCCTTGGAAGCTGGGGCAGCTGGCAGGGTTGTGGACTGCATATTGGCCCTGAAGGCTTACAATGAATGTAAGCAGATTGGGGGAAATGGATATCACAAGCAAGCAAGATCCCCCCTGGTCATGCATTCTGCCAGTAGGATCCACTCACGGGCATCATCAGATTCTTGTAGGCGGTTGGAAATGTTTACTTGCCCTAAACAGCTACCTTCTAATGGAGAAATGACTAAACTTCTCGAAGGTTTGTGTTGGTCTTCCTTCATTGTGAACATTTTTCTGAGTACAAGTAAAAGTGTGATCAGGGCACTGTATTAATTTAGCCAAGTCTTAAGAACAATATATATCACTTTCTTATAATTCTTATAGCTACAATAAAAGAGGTAACCTCATAATTTATGGTTAGTTTTGCGAGCCACTGGCTATTGGACTAAGGAGAATGACATTAAAATCGATTATCAATATTTCATTTTTAGAGTTTTTATTTGTTGCAGACAGATAATTTATTGGTAATTTTGCTTGCAAAAATATTGCATCTCTAGATTGTCAATGGCCCTAATGTTGTGTGCAGTTTTTCTTTTTGAAACTTTCTCTTACATTGTGTGACGAATTGGATTTTGTAGATTCAATTACTAAGGTACTCTCTGACTATATGGATGACACAAAGGAAAACTTTGACAACAATCTTTTGAGTTCCTTCCATAGAGGAAATTCGGTAAAATTCATTACAGCTTTATATCAACTCTATTTTTTATTTGACAAAAGTGTATATTTGGTGTTTTTCCATTTAAATAATTTTTTTGTCCTGCAGGATTCAATTGGATTATTTATCAACATGCTTTCAAGTCTTTTGGAGGAACATTCTAAGGAAAAAATCCCTGAGGTGAGTTTAATGGGCTCAAGAAAAAACCACATTGTTTGAACTTCAAATTCTGTATTATCCATGCTGTAATTCTTTTACTAGTATAATGCCATCATAATAGCCACCATAGAGGTGACTAATTAAATGAGCACACCTTTTCCTT